ATTTTGCTTATGGAGCTCCCCACCAGGAATAGCTCTCCCCACCTACAGAATTCAATCCCAGGTCTCCACTACAGCCAGCCAAAGACTTTAATTGAACTAAGTGTGCAGTGTGCATGTGCCTAGTTGGCTTTAAAAAATTGGGTAATAACTTTTTTATCTAATATATGAATGTCATAAATGATATGTAGGTCATTTTTTTATTTTATTTTATTATTTTTTATCATTTTTAGTTTAATTTATTATTGATATTCAATTTCTGAATACAATTTATTTCCAATATGCAAATTTGATGACTTACATTCAATTTGAATTCGAATATCTATATCTATACTACTTATAAAAGTGTGAATGGATCTTATTTTCTGAATTTTCTTTGGACAGAATTTACCCCTTGATTTTGAGCTATAATGAGGCAAATTTGTATTTTAATAAAAAATGCTTTAAGATAGTAAACCAAATGAACAACATTTATGAATAGAAAATTATAATACCTCATCTATCTATACTATTATATATCTATATTATATATAAAAGTGTGAATGCAATGTGAAACTTTTTTTTGACTAAAATTACCCTCTATTTCATTGTTTAAGAAAGTGTATAAAAGTTATTTTTATTATAACCTTAATGTCAGCTTTAATGGCTATTAAAATGCCTATATTTGTGTATTTAATCAATCTCTAATTGTAAGGGTTGAAAATGTAACTATAATTATTACTTTCCACTTCATTTAATCCCCTCTCATTAAGTCTTATACTTAAGGTATTAAATCTCATTTTCTCTTATCAAATACTATATTTTAAAGTTATTTTTCACTAATAAATGATACTAATTAGATCTATGTCAATATTTTTAACAATATAAACTCATATATTTTAAAATTGACTAGAAAACAAAACCATTTTTTATCCAAATGGTGGCTAAGCAATTCAACCTTCCGCATCAAATTGATTAACCTACGAAGTCATAGGTATGTAATGAAATTTTTAAAATATAAATAAATATAGAAGATTACAACACAAATTTAGAAAAAAATTAGACACATTTAAGATATTTTTATTAATCAAATTAAAAAAAACAAATATAATAAACAAGAATTATTTTTATTGATAATGAAAATAAAATACATAATTTAGAACTAACCAAAAATGAAATTAAAAATTAATAATAAATAGTTCAATTTTGTGTTAAATGTGTTAACCTTTAATGTCATAAATAAATAATAAAATATAAAAAACATAAAAATACATAAATTTTGCAAAGAAAAAAGCATGTAGGCACATCTATAATATCATATATATTTATCATATTAAATAAAAGATACGTGTGATATATAACAAATTATTTTTACACACAAAAATACAAAAATTGTAGAAAAAAATTGAACACATCTATTATTCTATATTTAAACTACTGTTAAAAATGTGAATAAGATTGTGGAACTTTCTTTTAACTAAAATACTTAGTTTTGAATTTAGTCCCTATTTAATTGTAAAATTTAAATTGTAAATTGAACTACTGCTTTTCACCTCGTTCAATTCCCTCTATTTAAGTCTTACATTTTTTTTTTTTTTTTGTAAATGAACAAAAGAAAAAAGATACACCAAAAAGATAAAACACTACAAAACGAAAAGTCTAGCCGAGCAAGTAGGCCTATCAATGGTAATTGAAACCAATGTTTTCAAAACAAGACCGAACTGGATAGTCAGATCGGAAAAATCAAGAACCATTCAGGTCTCCGGTTCCGGTTATACTATAATCCGCTTTTATTAAAAGCACGTTGGAAAGGTCAAAATACCGCTGACTCGAGTGACCAAACCGTTAAACCATTCGACCCAAATAGCGGTTCACGGGTTATATGTTTTATCTTTTCTATATTAAAAAGTTAAAAAAGAAATTCCACCTGTGTCCCCATTGAATTGATAATTGGGGTTAGGATTCGAATGTAAATCATTTTCATTCTCCCCTTCTCAGCCGCTCATTTAGCTTGACCTCTAGTGACTTGTGGTGACAGTGACCTATGGCAAACCACGACGACCAACGATCAAGAGTTGAGGCTCCATCTACGGTGACCTATGACAAATGCAAGGTTTGCTTTCTCAATTCTCATTTTGAGTTCAAGCCATTGTCAAGTGCATGGTTTTGCAGTGGCAACCGCAATTTAACCAACGGCAACCACCATTTACAAACTACCAACAACCAATATCGACCACCAGTTTCATCAATGATTAATGACAGCTTTGTAGTGGCAATTTCTTCTCCTCCACCGAGTCTATAGTTGTAGCAGCGGTTTTAATCACTAGTGACCAAACTACAATCCACTGGTGGCAATTTTTCCCCTCTCTGTGAACCCAACACCATCACACCTCCATTACCAATGGCATTTTTTTGTATTTTATTAAATTTGTATGGAGTTGTTTTATTATTTATAAATACTTTATTTTTAATTTGTTTATGACATCAATGGTCAAACCGTTTAACCCAGTCAATTGAACCATCAAATAAGAAAATGGTGCCTTGACCAAGTCTGTTTCTGGCTCAGTTTTCAAAACATTGATTAGAACTTCACAACTCAATCCGATTATCACGTATTTGGATGAGATATTTATGTAATCAGATTTGGATTTTTCTATCTGCATCTGATTAATAAAAAAACAAAAAATAAATAAAAAATAAAAACTTAAATTTTATAGAAAATTTTAGATATATTATTATTATCATTATCATCATCTATAATTGTCACGTGCAAAGCACGCGCACATTTACTAGTACTATTATTAGTGTGAATAATTGTGTGAAACTTTTCTTGACTAAAATGCTCATATTTGTGTATTTGTAGGGTTGAAAGTGTAATTCAATTATTGCTTTTCACCTCATTTAATCCACTCTCATTAAGTCTTATACTTAAGGTATTAACTCACATTTTCTCTTATTAAATCCTATATTTAAGTTATTTTTTCACTAATAAATGCTACTAATTAAATCTATGTCCAATACTTTTAATAATATAAAACAATATATTTTAAAACTTACTAAAAAACAAACCCATTCTTCTCTAAGTAGTGACTAAGCAATTCAATCATCCGAATCAAATTGGTCAACGCATGAAGTTATAGTCAAATAATAAAATTTTTGAATTGAAATAAATATAGAAAAATACAAAATTATACAACAAATTAAACACATTTATGATATTTTTATTAATAAAATTAAAAAAAATAAGTGTAATAATCAAGAATTATTTTTATTGATGATGAAAATGAAATACATTATCTTAAAACTAACAAAAAATGAAAATATTTTCCTATTTAACAGAGAACAATAGCTCACCTTTTGGGTCAAATGTGTTAACCTTTAATGTCATAATTAAATAATAAAAATTAATTAAATATAAAAATACATAAATTTTACAAAAAAAGTCACATGTACAATATCATATTAAACAAAAAAAAAAATTATTTTTACACACAAAAATTATAGAAAAAAATTCAATACATCTATAATTCTGTATTTACACTACCATTAAAAATATGAATAACGTTGTGGAACTATATTTTAACTAAAATACCCAATTTTTTGAATAATCCATATTTAATTGTGAGGTTTAAAAATGTAATTTGAAGTACTACTTCTCACTTCATTCAATTTCCTCTTTTTAAATCTTACATTTTTTTTATAAATGAAAAGAAAAAAATACACTAAGAAGATAAAACATGACAAAAGGAAGAGTATAACCAAGTAGGTAGGCTTATCAATGATACTCAAAACTTTGCAACCCACTATGAGGCATTTATATAATCAGATTTGGGTTTTGCAATTTTCTTGTAATTAATAATAAAAAAATAAAAAATACATGAATTTTATAAAAAAAATGATATATTATTACTATCATTATCATCATCTAGAATTGTCATGTACAAAACACAGACACTTACTAGTTAACAAATCAAATTTGAACCAAGAATATTCAAATACGATTTAATGTGTTTCCGGCCATAGTCCAACTATATGACCTACCACAATATACTATGAACAAATGTTATAAAACGAAAATAATATAATAATAAACATTATAGGTTATAATAGGTATTCACATTTGAATTGAATTAACCCAATGAACATTTCTAAAAACCAAAAACTTGAAATACATTTTAAGTTTTACCGTTCGGTTCAGAGTTTAACAACACTGTTCAACTTCAGGCTTAGAAATGACAATGGAATCCGGATCTTCCACCAACAAAACACATTCCAATATTCGATCAATATGATCTGAGATCGCATATCTAATACATGGCGGGTCTCAGTCTCATGGTGAGATGTACAGTATCAAATCATGTTGATAAGAGAGTTGAAACATGTTTTGTTGGGAAGAGATCCTAACTCATGACAATGGGACAAGGGGTGGGGCATCTCCTCTCCCTCCCTGCCCCAAAGTCAAAATCCCCTATCAATCTCTGTTCTATCCAGAGTGGTGGGGTAGGCCGGCAGGGATTCAACGCCATCCCCATTCCTATCAAGAACATTCATTGCTTAGAGGCAACCACTTAAACTCTGCCTCATTAGGGAATTCACATCTGCACCCTATAAAGAGCAACCTACAAACGCCCCACAACATATTTCAACGGCCATGTATTGGAAATATCTCCTACTGATAACTTGTGCATGTGGGGCAGCACAGGAAGCAGCGTGCAAAATTGTTATTGTATTACCACATTGGGAGACACAATGTACTGCAGACGACCAGGGGCCCCACTTGCAAGAAACCTTGTTCCAAATGTATGGGGATGGATGAAGCAGCAACGATCCAAGTTATGCCACGCTTCATCTGGATGGAGTGATCCCCACTCCACTCCCCACTCCCCACTCCCAACCTACACTTACACCACCTGCTTTTAACTTAACGAGTGTGTGAACCGGTGAACACTTCAAGAACTTCAGTTCTCACGACACAACCTACCGTAACCAACCATCCAACAACGTACGCAGAAAGAAGAGGGAGGGCCGCTCCAAGAGCGTCGTCACCTTCTCTTCTCTGTTCTCAGTTCTCACGCATTGCGCTTTCCCATTCTCCGAGTGTGTCATGGAGAGAGAAGCAGATGGGCTTGCTCCTAATTCTCTTCTGCTTGGTATCCCTGAAGAAAATGGATCTGAATTGGATGAAGAGAGGACTGTCGATCAAAAAGGTATCCGCAGATCATCATCATCCAAGGTTGTTGCAGAACTGAAGAAGCAGTTGTGGTTAGCAGGACCTCTGATATTAGTTAATCTATTAGAATATTCTGTACAGACAATCTCAATCATGTTCACGGGTCATGTCGGAGAGTTGGAGCTATCCAGTGCTTCAATCGCCAATTCCTTCGCAACTGTGACTGGCTTTAGCTTGCTGGTATGTGGCTTCATCTAGCCTTCTCTGTTTCATTTCTATAAACATTAATCAATTTCTTCATACACTCACGTTTATCCTCTATTTCATCCTATGGCTTATTGTGGTTTTTTAAGCTTATGGATCAACGATCGATCAGTCACTTTTTATTTCTTCTTTTTCCTGGTTTAATGGGTTTTCAGATGTAATCCTGAAATCCTTGTTTTTAGTAAATATCATTGTGGGATTGAGGTTCCTAGTCTATACAAACTGTCAGATTTCAGAAATGGTGGTAGCTTTGTTCTTTAGACTGAACTTTTTTAGAGTTTGATTTGTATGTAATTATGTTTAATTTGTATTTCTGAAGGATTTATATATTGTCTACAAAAAGCGAATTTTGGACCATTGCTAAACGTTAAACATAACACAAATGGTGCAGGGAAAATGCATGTTCAATACAACATTGATTCAAAAAGAAAGAAGAAAAAACACATTCACAAAAAGTGTATATATATATATATATATATATATATATATACATTTATACGTATTACATGTGTACATATAAAATTTATTTTATTTGTAAGCAAGTAGTCCATGGAATTACTTACAACTCGCAGTCAAAAGCAACCCATAGTAGTAAAATATTATGAAAGCATGAAATAATTTTTATGAGAACCGAGGGGAAAAGAGGGCGAGAGCAACTGTACACATGGTCAAGGTTTACATGGAAATAAAATGCTAAATAAGGGGGAGTACTGGAAGGGTATGAAGCACCTTTGGGAATGTATACTTGACGCCATTTTGGGGAGACTAGAAATAGTGTTTTGAACACAATCAATATGTGAGGTTGGGAAAAAAAACAAAGAAGCATTATTCTTACATTAACAAAATTTGTTTCTTTTTTCAAAAAATGAAAGGCATTTCTAGCAATGATTCAAATTGCTAATTCCTTGGAATCCTTTTTTTTTTTTTTTTGGGGGGGGGGGGGGCTAAACTATAGGAGTCTTAATGACCAAAATGAATTCATTATTAGCAAATGTATGTTAATCAAAAAGGTGGTAATGGTATCTAAAAATCTAACCAAAGTGTTTATGGTATCCTTTCTTAACTGAATTTGGGTAGCTATGTGAAAATGTATCTTTGAGCCACAAGCTCCTTAATTAAGCAGAATTTTTTATGAGATATTAACCACTTTACCCTTTTTTGTTGAATAGACAGGAATGGGAAGTGCACTGGAAACCTTATGTGGTCAGTCCTATGGAGCAGAACAGTATCATATGCTTGGCATCCATATGCAAAGAGCCATGTTTGTTCTATCAATTGTTTGCATTCCAGTCACCTTCATATGGGCCCATACAGGCCGCATTCTCTTGGCTGTGGGCCAAGATCCAGATATATCAGCAGAAGCAGGACGTTATGCTTGCTTCATGATCCCTAGCCTTTTTGCCTATGGCCTGCTTCAGTGTCAACTCAGCTTCCTGCAAACCCAAAATATTGTATTCCCAATGATGATAGCTGCTGGTCTTACAACTCTGCTGCACATTCCTGTTTGTTGGGTTTTGGTTTTTAAATCTGCTCTGGGTTATCGAGGTGCTGCCCTGGCAATTTCTATCTCTTACTGGATAAATGTGTTACTTCTGGCACTTTATATCAAGTTCTCTCCTAACTTCAAAAGAACTTGGACCGGTTTCTCAATTGTGTCACTTCTCGGTGTCCTCAACTTTCTAAGGCATGCAATTCCTTCAGCTCTTATGATCTGGTATCTATTACTTATCACATTCTTATCTAATCCATATCACTATGTCCAATTGTTTTCAATTGTTCTTTTAGTGTCTAAATTTTTATTCTTTCATGATCTGTAATGTAATAGCTTAGAGTTCTGGTCATTTGACATGATGGTGATCTTTGCCGGTTGTCTTCCTAATTCAAAGTTGGAAATATCAGTTATATCAATCAGGTAAGCATTGGATTCATGTCCGGATTGAAATTATGTTGGGCTGGAAGTAGCCTTCTTAGTTGGTTTCATAATTAAATGGGGGTTATCAAAATAAGTTTTGTGTCAATCTTTTTTTGTACTTAATGTTTTCACATACAAGATGATCTTTATTCTGTTTGATTATTCAACCATAAGAAAACATTTTTAACAAATATATAAGAAATGCAAATAACAAAAGTTTCTATATGATGTCATCTTTAAATTGTTTGTTTATTCTAATGATACATTCTTATTTCCTCCCCCCACCCCCCMCCCCCCAGCCATAACACTGCTGCAAATCTCTTCTTGATTCCTTTTGGACTTGGTGGATCTGTAAGGTCAGTTAATCTGAATGACATGGTTCTCCCTTAACAATATTCTTGGTATTTGTTCTTCAAATATCTATCAAAATTCCACCAATTATAATTTTGTTTTTCCTCAGCACACGAGTTTCAAATGAATTGGGTGCCGGACATCCTCAAGCTACACGTTTAGCGGTACAAGTTGTATTATTTATGGCCTTTACATGGAGCATTTTAATTGGCTTAATCATGATCTTTGTGCGTAAGGCTTGGGGCTATGTTTATAGCAATGAAGAAGAAGTATCAAGATATATAGCAACAATGATGCCATTGCTTGCAATATCCAACTTCTTGGATGGAATCCAATCTGTGCTCTCAGGTTTTTGTTACTTTATAACGTCTTATATGGATATTAGCATCAACATCCTTAGAAAGATAATTTTGAAAAGTGTCTTTGTTACCAAACCCATCATACGTTCATAACTAATCAGTGGAATCTCTTTATTAATGTTTAGGCACTGCAAGAGGATGTGGGTGGCAGAAAATTGGTGCTTTTATCAATTTGGCATCATTTTACTTTGTTGGCATTCCATCATCTATTTTATTTGCTTTCATTCTCCATACTGGAGGAAAGGTTAGTATCCATGTTATCTCCTTTTCTATTTTACTGTCTTATGCAAGATTTTTAACAACAGCAATTGCAGTTATCTTGGTTGTGAAAAATTTTCTTTCAGTATTTTATTCACCATATTAGTATTGTTAAATTCTATTAAAAATGAAATGTCGTGACAAAAATCTCATTATTTGGCGAAAGAAATACTGTTAATTTTTATTTTAAGTATTTTCTCATGGATTTCTTTCTTATTCCTATTGTACACCATAAAATAACAAACTATTCTAAAATATGCTGAGATTCTAAACTTGCTTGATATTTCTAAGTATTCCAAGAAATGCTATTTTCTCATTTTTTATAAAGACACTATTTTAAGACTTGTTTACAGGTATTTGTATTATTAAATTTGGCTTAAATATCCTGTGTAATTGGGTTTTTTTAAGCATTTTTTACTTTATTTTGCTTTCTCATAATATATCCTAACATTTATTTTGACTGTTGATCTGCCAGTTTTTTTTTTTTCAATTTGTCATTAAACCCATAATTTCTTATTAAAAAAGTTGTGGTAAAATACACATGCTATGCATTAAATGTAATGTGTTGTGTTATTATCATGTTATGGTTGTAACAAGAACTGAAACTTATCAGAAAAATAAACAAGAACTGAAATTTCAAGAAATTTTGGCTTATTTGGATTAGAAAATATTTTCAGTTATTGTTCTGATTTAAAAAAAAAAATGTGTAATATAGGGACTCTGGTTGGGGTATATTTGTGCACTCATCGTGCAAGTATTATCTCTTCTAGTCATTACCATAAGAACTAACTGGGAGGAAGAGGTAAGGATTTTCCATTACTCAGTTCGACCCCACTTCATTTCTAATTTATGTTTTTTTTACGAATTTCATTTCTAATTTATGTTATCTGACTGTTTTTTCTTTTTCTTTTCTTTTTTTTCTCTTGTTAGGCAAAGAATGCTACTTGTAGAGTCTATGAATCCATCATACCCACGGATGTGACTCACGAAGCTGAGTTATTAACACTTGTAAGAACTAGAAAAATTGATCCAACAGAAATGGAATTGGGATCTCAGGAACTAACAACAATCGATGCGGACGCAATTATCAGAGAAACTAACAACATGTCAACAACTAACATCCCGAGAACTCACAATTGATACAGATTTTCAATTAACTGCCTATTCTTGTTCTGTGGGTAATAATAGGAGAAATAAGAACGAAAAAGTGTAGATGAATTGTGGTTGGATGGCAACGGTTTCATTCTTGTTGCCTATGACCCAAATCCAACTTAAAACTTGTCATACAAATTATATGATACTGAATCTGTGAATATCTAGTTTCCTTTCGTTAATGTTTAGTTTCTTTTCCTATCAAAAGAAAAAAAAAAAAAACCTTGAACGGCCCACCAACACTAAAGCTGTGTGTGTGTGAGAGAGAGAGAGAACAGAGAGGTGGGGGCTTTAAATCCATTTGAAGGGAGATAGAGTCCTAGACCTAGGGCTGCATATTTGGACCATGTTAGCCCAAATCCAACCTGAAAAGGTCACGATGAGTTGAAGTTAGGGTTAGGGTTGAGACTTAGCCAATTCAAATTCAACTTAAAATCTGTATATATAAGTACAATATAAACATGTAAATATGTAATTATGTAGTTATTTCTGCATATATGTATGCGTGTATATATAAACGATTTAAAGTTTAAAGGCAATTTTTTTTTTATCTAAAGCATTATACCTCTCTTTATATATAACTAGTGGGGATCCATGCAATGCACAGATTTTGTTGAGTTAACAATAAAAAATAAAAAATACATTACCATAAATATAGACAATTGTTTTATATTTTAACATTTAAATAATTAATAATTATTTATATTTTATATATTATTTTTAATATTTTTTGTAATATAAAAATAACAATAATTAATTTCAACTAGTGTTGTTCATCAAACCGACCAATCTGACCCAACTTGGCCCAAATTGGACAATTTTCTAGTATTTCCGATTGGTTTCAGTTCAGCAACTTTCCGACTCAACCAGGTTGGGTTAGTGTTATATTGTAAATTTAAAATTTTTTTTTTTTTTTTAAATAATATCATTGTAATTTTTTAAAATTTAAATTTAAACTTTTATGCTTAAATATTTTGAACCAATTGACACAAACCGATACTAGTGTTTTGAACCCACCATTGACTTGACTAGTTGAACTATTCAAACCATCACCCTACCTTGATTCTAGGTTTGATTTTGTTGAAATCCACCCTTCGGTAAAAAACCATCTAACCCAGATGGTTCAACTGTTAACCCATTTGACTCGGTCACTGGGTCACCGATTGCACACTTAATATGTACAAACTTTCAGAGGCCATAATTTTGCACTCCAATGTCTAATTGATTGAGGTGATCTTTTTTTTGCAAGAAAACTTCTTTGGCCTTGAGTCCCAATTTTTTATAAATGAAAAATTAAAAAACATAAATTAAATATAAAACAATACATATATTATATGTAAAACATAATTATACACTATTTATTGATAAAATATGTATATATACATATATAAACATTTATATATGTATATAAATATATATTTGTTTAAATACATAGAGTATTGACGTAAAATGATTTGACCCATTTTGACCTAGACGGTTGAACCAATGGCCCACGACCCAAAAGCAAAAGTGGGTCCTCCATATATAATATGTCTTAGAAGTAGGAAAGTGGGGATTAGTAAAGAGTAACAAAAAAACTTAATTATTAGCAATATTTTAGGAATGAGGAGAGAGCTTATTAAGTAATTTTACAAAGTTGGATATAAAATGAGGAGAGAGATAAGAGTGGGGAAATGAGAGTTTAAGAGCAATAAATTAGGAATTTTGAGAGGTTTTGGGAGAGAATGAAGACAACCAAGAGAACGTGATTGACAAAAATCTAATCAATGTTTTGTAACAATTAAAAAACAACAATGAAATAGAGGAGACAAAAGGAAGCAATAAAGTGGGGAGAGATTCTAGGGATGTAGAGGGAAAGGGTGAGAGAGATTTCTAAATAAAGGGCCAACATTTACTAGAACTTCTTTGTTAGAACCGTAGGAATTGGAGACTTTGGGACGTGTGTAAGAAAGAGGGGGATTTTAGGGGATGGAAAGGTGTGATATCCGATTGGTACAAGAAGCTGATTACATGGCTTTATAAAAAAAAAATTCTAAAAACTGAGAAAATTAGATTGGGGTTGAGAAAGTTTTGAAGGAGGTCAAAAGTGACATGTGGACTGAGTCACTTTATATATATAGTATAGATATAACATCACATGGGTTTGGAGCTAAAGGGAGTAGAGAAAAACTTTGGGATTGGAGTTTAACAGCTTGGGTTGGGTTAGGGTCAACCTCAACCTAACCTCACCCGGAACCTAACAGACCCATGAGTCAAAAATTCAAGATTAACCAGATTGAATTAACAAGAGATTGGAGAGGATCGGAACGGATTAAAGGTGTACGTAAACCAATCCATTTCACATGTTCCTTACCAGTTTCCAATGGAAATGAACGAGAAACCCCTCCTCCTTGAATGTAAAGAGCATTGAAGTCAGCTCAAACCACCACATAATTCATGATAAAACTATCACAGAAGTTGAAATCATTCTTTTAAAATAATATAAATGTTGGTTAAAGATGAACAAAGCATAGGCTTCCCAAACTCCCTATTCCACAACAATTCAGGCTAGAATCAAATAAGAAATACCTGAAAACATCACCCCCCAAGTTTGTTTTTGACTCAATTTTCGAGCAATTTCAAAACAAATGCGGAAATGCCTGAATAGCCTGGCTCTTTATGGGCTAGTATACAATTACTTTGGAAAAAAGAAAAAGGGAAAAGAATTAATTGTATATTTTGAGTTTTCATCCAACCTGAATTGCAGCATCCAGCTGAATCATCTGCAGTGATTCCAAAACCATAATTCAAGCCTATAACAATCTGCTGCACTTAAAAAATTGAGTGCTTTCCATCTCTGGGTCTCAATTTTTCAAAGGAGGATTAAACAGAGAATCCGAAAGGCCACAACCGAATCAGAGCAGTGTAACTATCATGAATGCATGAAACAGAGAATCCAAAAGGCCGCAATCCAAACTAAGGAATATTGAATGTGGAGATAGGCTATTCTTGTTCAGGATGTAGGAATTCGAGATCTAGTTTTCTTTTCAGACATGATCTGTCAGCACTGCAAAAGCAAATAAAAAAATATTGATCCTTTGCATTTGGAATACAAGCAAATATACTTAGCTAGGATTTCAGTCTGACTTAGGACAAGCCCATAGACAATATTTTTTATCTATCTAATAAATACTGTTTTCCCCATCTTTTGATCATGAAACAAAAGATTACTGGTTAAACTTTAGGGCTACAGTATGCAATTAGGAAGCTGGTTATGGTCAAAGTTAACCTCCAACATGGGTGAATTAAACAGTCAGGCCGGCTCTAAGCATGAATTCAAGGCAAGTAAATAAGCTTCAGAAGATGGGTCCCATGGTGCCGGAAGCAAGCTTATTTTCCCTCAAGTATAATATGCAGAGCCTGTACCAGAATAGATATTACTTACCTGTTAAGTGTTGGTCTTGGAGGAGGCCTTGATCCAAAGACAGACAAATCTATTGACATCGGAATATTTTCACTCCTGCATGCATTCCCACCAGTGGATTGTCTGACTTCAATTGCATGGTCATCAACCTTATCAACATGGTATGAACTTCCTTCCAGCCCCTCACGCTGTAGCATCACTCTCCTTGACTTTCTTGGTGGAGACAACACAATAGGACCATCCTGTGGATTAAAATCTAAAGGTCTAGAATTGAGAGATTCCCCTTTAGGAGGAGGTCTTGGAAGTAAAGCTGGTTTTGTTGGGGCAGGTACAGATGAGAAATACCTGAACGAAAAGATAGATATTACCAAATAAAGAATAAATAAAAAGTATCATCCTTCCACTCACCTGTATTTGCATACCTATGCTCTAGTGCCTGCTGTGCAGAAATTCTTGCCTTTGGATCATATGTGAACATCTTTGATAATAGATCTAGTACATCATCACTTGCCATTGGAAACAGGGAACGCAATGGAGGTGCAGGAACAAATTGATATTCCACATAATCTGGAAGGTAAATCATATCTGGCCACTGAAAAGGCGTTGGAGTCCCAAAAGCTGCAAAGATCTTTCCTAATTGATCAATATCACTTGAACCCTAGTTCAAATGCCAAAAGAATGTCATTCAGCTAAATAGCAAAACTTGTCAGACCCAAGTGCATTGTTTCTATTAAATGTTTTTTATCAATATCAATTATATTAAATGTACAAGCAAGATAAATACCATAGAGTGAAAGACCAATCCATACCAAGCATACCATGCACTAACAAACAACCAGCCAATATAAATAGATCTTTGTCAACATTAGACACAAAAAGATATTTATAATCATCTATGATATCGGGATACCTTTACATGCCTAGCATACTAGGTGTTGGACATGAATACAATACCAGATACTGCATGGATACTTGTAATATGAACCTTTATAGCATTAACACTTGAAAATATGTTAAAGTGGTAGAGGTTGTGAAGGAATCTTTTTGGACTCCCTCATTTCGAAGGAATCTTCTTGATTGGGAGGTGGAAGAGGTTGTGAATCTGTTGACCTGTTTTCAAACCAATGGGGTGTTTTCTGTTAAATCTTTGGCTGCTAATCTCGGTAGGAGGGGTGTTCCTGATTTCCCAGATCGGCAAGTGTGGAATCCCAACAGCCCAACAAAAGCCAACTTCCTAGTTTRGACTATGGCTCTTAATAAATGTCTTTCTAAGGAGAACCTAGTGAGAAGGGGAATTCAGGTTTCGGACTTGTCTTGCAGTCTATGTGGGAGCAGTGCTGAATCTACTGATCATTTGTGTATCCATTGTCTGTATTCTGCTCAGTTGTGGAACCATTTCCTCAGCTCTTTGAAGGTTTGTTGGGTGATGCCGAGGTCTGTTAAAGAGCTGTTGTGTTACTGGCAGTTTATGGGGTTGAGCAAGAAAAAGAAGACTGTCTGGAAGATGGTTCCAATTGCTGTAATTTGGTCCATCTGAACCGAGAGGAATAGAAGGATTTTCAGCAACAAGTTTCTAAGTCCGGAAGAGTTAATTCAGAAGTCAGTGGGCAAGCTGATATCTTGGTTGTCTGTGGCTGCAGATTTTAGAAACTGTAATGTGTGAGATGTATTTTTTTTTTCTAGCTCTTGATGGTTAGTGTATTTGCTGATTTGATCAGTCAACCTGTTCTGGGACTGATCTCAGCCTCCTGTGTGTAATTCCTTATCAATAAATATTACTTTACCTTTTCCAAAAAAAAATATGTTAAAGTGGTATCTTTTAACAAAATATACTATAGAAATATCTGTGCATGTTACAAATTTAATTAAATTTAGCAAGACACAAGTCTTGATAAATGGCACTTAGCTTCAAAAACTATATATATATATATATATGGGATATTCGTACCTGCATCCATGTAAACGGAGAGCAGTATCCCCGTTTCCTGTATCCATGTCCATAACCATATCTGGGCGTAATAGGTTATCCAGTAGCATATGTTGCTTGTGAGACAAGAGTCCATGTCAAATAAATAGATAATCAATTCTAAGACCCAGGCAAATTCTTCATTTGTTTGATTATTTCTATATTTTCTTTTCTAAAAAAAAGAGTGATCATGAATCAAACTGCCAAGTGAAACCTCAATTCACTAAAGCTAATAAAACCCAAAAGTCAAAATTTGGGGCTTAGCAAATAAATAAAATCCAAAGTCTAAGTGTCAAACCATATACTGTGATCCCTAAACTTGTAATTTTACCCAAAGTACCTTGTAGACACTACTTAACATGGGCATGATGTTATGGTCCCGCGCGTAGGATCTCGTCACGGGTCGGTCCACGGGGAAAACCCTCTGTTTTCCCTTGTTCCTCCCTGCTCTTGATGGACCTATCTAGGCGCCCTAATGGTGATTTGTTCAAGAGATCACCTAACTCTCATTTACTCTCTTTCTTGACTGAATATTCGATATCCTCATTCAATAATGGTGTCTCCTTAA